ACTCAGGGCAGCTGTGTCCCCAACCTCTGGTCACTGGGCCGCTGAACGCCCAGGCAGGGAGGCAGGTTGGCACACGCAGCGACAGGCATGCGCGTGCAGGGTCCCACCGGCAGAGCACACGTGTGCTCAGATGCCTGGACTCACACAGACTTGGCTGCCAGCTAGCCATGCATCACCACCGAGGTCCTAGAGCCCTGAGACCAGGCTGTGTCCCCCTCCCCCAGGTGCCCTGAACCCCACCCCTCCTGGGCTGCAACCTCCTGCTCCCCCCAGAGCCATGGCGATGACTGCCCAGGCCCTGCCGCTGCCCTCAGCACTTCCAGGGGCCTGTCCTCCCCACCAGCCAGGAGTGCGGGGAGAGGGCACCCCAGCCCCGCCTCCACCCTCCCCTCGGACCAGGGGCCGGTCAGCCGGGGGCTGGGGCAGATGGTCTTCCCAGCAGCCCAAGGGCACAGGGACGGGAAGGCTAGAAAAGCCCCCTGGCAGGTGCCCGCTGGTCCGGTCACATCTGGGGTGGACAGACCTCTGCGAGGGTCAGCCCCGACTCCTTCCTGCGAGCAACCTGAGGCCCAACCCCAACCTCAGGGGGAGGAACAGCACCCACCAGAGGGGAGAGGACCTGGACACCCATCCGCACCGCCCCCCCCAACGCTATGCCTGGGGCTGACCTGCCTGTGGAGGGGTTGCAGGCCCAGGAAAGCATCAAGGCAACGGCCCCGCCCTCCCCACTGTCTTTGACCAAAGCCCACAGCAACGTCCAGAAGCTGACACCACGTGCCACACCTCCCACCAGCACAGGCCCCAGCTGGGCCTGCGTGTCCCCCGCCCCAGACCTGGGCAGGCCCTAAAGGGTGGCCCCTCCGGCACCCTCATGGCCCCACCACCTCCTAGACCCACATCTCGGGACGGAGGCCAACACCAGGATGGAGGACCCCCAGCCCCAACCCTGGGCAGCCCCTGAACCCCCTGTGAGTGACCCCCACCCTCCCAGCCCAGATCAAAAGAAGAACTCCCGGGCTCCTTGTCCCCTCCGCCAGGGAGCGCCTCCATGGCAGCCAAGGCGTCTGTGCCGGCGCCTCCCTCCCCCAGGCCCCGCCTCCTCCTCCAGGAAGCCTCCCTGCCCCACTCCCAACTCCGGGCCTCCTTGGAGTGCAGGGCCAACAGGTCTGTGTCCCCAGAGCAGCACACACAGCAGGCAACAGGCACAGGCCCAGTGAGCGCCCTGCCAGCTTGGGCTGGGCCCCACCGTGGCGGGCAGGTAGGGCCCGGGCAGTGTGAGCTACTCAGAGGCCATGGGCACCTACCTGGCTACACCAAGGCTCACTCACAAAGGACCTGTCCAGGAAACAGTGCGCCCACCTCGGACTCGGAGGCCTGGGGCGGAGGGACAGTCAGGCGATTGACTACGCAGCCCCCTGAGCCCAGCAGTGGCGGGGCGGCCGGGCCCAGCCCAGCCAGGGCAGCTCAGCTCGGGGTGGAGGGCAGCGGCAGCTCTGAGGCGGCTTTGAGGAGTTGGGAGGCCCGGCCAACACAAACAGGCCTGCGGTGTCCCCTTCCTGCTGCTGCTTCAGCCCGAGGCCCAGCGCCCACCCAGCCCCCAACTGGGGGAGGGGCCCGCAGACACCAGGCTGGCACCCCCTCTGCACGCAGGCCCCAGGCCCCCGGGCTCAGGGGCTGGGAGACACCTGCTCCAAGGAGGGGTCCCGCTGGAAGGGGCCACCGAGGGCCTCTGTTCTCCTCCAGGGCCCACCCAGGCCAACCCGAGCTCAGGGCCTGCCCACGGCTCCTCCCCCTCAGGTATTCCTCAGCTGGAGGCCACGTGGCGCTAGAGGTGGAGGGGGACACAATGAGGACCCTGGAGGGAGGGGTGCCTGCCCATCGACCAAGGCCCTGGGAGCACCCGACTCAGATGCCCAGTGTATGCCCACCCCACCTCAGTGAAGGCCTGTGCCACTGGGACCCCTATGGGCGGTCCCCTCCGGGAGCCCACATCAGGCCCAGGCAGCCGGGCTGGGCTGGCAGTGCCGTTCTCAAGTGCCATGAGCCCAGGGGTGCCCAGTAGGTCATTAGGTTAGGGCCACTCCAGGCCCCAGCACACCTGCAGCACCGCCTGCCACTCAGGACTCCCCAGCCCCAGGGCCCGAGGTGAGTGCGGGGGAAGCAGGGGGGCGACCGGCTGACTCTGGGGGGGAGTCCAAGCCTGAATGTTCATGGCCCCGCCCCGCCCCGCGCATCCAGCGTGGGCACACACTACCCACAGCACGCGGGGCCACTGGCCAAGCCTGGGCCCACGTCTGCACAGCCAGGCTCAGTGTATGCCCACCCCACCTCCAGCCCCACAGCTTCTGGTTCCCCAAGGGGAAACTGAGGCTGTGGCCCAGGGCCAGTGGGCGGGCCTGTGACCAGGACAACGCTCGAGGCCAAGTCTCAGCAGCTAAAACTTCAATCTTGGATTTCCCCTTCTCCCCTGCCTGCCCTCAAGTGACCCTCTGGCAGGAAGCAGAGCGAGCTCATGAGTTCCAAACCACATGTGAGCACAGCCCCCCCTCACGCCCCCCACTACTGGGACAGGACACCCGTTCCTGGAACCTGCACCTCACCCTCTGGTCCTCCCCAGAAGCCCGGGCCATGTCTGTGCTGACACTCCACAGAGGGGGTCAGCCAGGGCCCGCACGTACCCCGGCAGGCGTACCCCGGCAGGCGGGCAGAGTCCCCCCACCCCCACCAGTGCCCGGGCCCCCATGGCTCCCTCCTCAACTTGCTCCCCCAGTACACGCTCACCCGCAAACACACACACACACACACAGCCACTCAGGGCCAAGGGGGGCCGGGCAGGCAGGGCTGACCTCCGAGGCTCCCCGGGCTCCTGTGGTCCAGCCTGGGCAGAGTTGAGCTGGGAGGACTCAGAACCCCAAGTGCCCCAAGGGGCCTCTGCGCACCCGTGCTGGGGCCCTGCGCACGGGCTGGGACGGGCAGCCACTCTGCTCCCCATGGCCTCTCCTGGGAAATCGGGGAGCTGGAGGGAGAAGTTTGGGAAGAGGATGCTGCCACCGCCCCCAAATCGACATCCGGCTCTCAGAATTCCAGGAATGTCAACTTGGCTCCCGGTGCGGATCAGGGCGGAGACTCGCTCCCCTCACTCCCAGTAAACAAAGGCTCCCTCCGGGGAGCACTGGTGGGCAGGCCTGGCCCCTCCTCCAGGAGGCCTTCTGCCCCCACCCGCTCCCCCAGGTCCACCCGCGGACACCCCCTGCCCTCCTGGGCTCCCTCTCACCTCCACCACCTCCGGCAGCCTCTGTGGCTGAGCCTGGTTCTGACCCCAGGCCACCGTGACTCAAGGCCCCGAGCCTGCCCATCTGGCCAGGGACAGGATGTACGTCCAGTCAGTGGGAGGGGGGCTGAGGGGTGTCAGGGAAGGGAAGTTGCTTTGGCTCGTGGCTCTGCACGTGGCAGGGTGGGGGATGGCAAATGCCGTTGGGGAATCGGTCCAGGGTGCAGGCAAAGGTGGAGGCACACACTCCAGGCGGCCAGCAGCTCTGGCCAGCTCGACCCAGGACCCAGAGGACCGTCCATCTCCCTGCCCCCCAACTAAGGTCTGAGAGGACCATTAGCTGACACCTGGGACCCAACAGAGATGCAGATGTCTGTGCCAGGCCAGCGAGCCTGCCCGGAGCCTGCACACACCCTAAGTCACAGGTGCCACTTGGCGACACAACCAGCCCGGCAGCCCAATGCTCACCTCCCGCAGGGGGCCTTCCCGGCACCGGCCCCGGATCTCGGGGCTCACCCCACCCCATTTCCAGACACACAGCCTCTCCTTCCTGTAAACCCTCCGTGGCTCCTGCCCCATCACCTCCGGCTCCACCACCTACCTTGGCCCTGGCCCAACCCTGTCTCCTGGAGCTGCCCTGCAGGTAACCGCCAGGCCTCTGCCCAGGGGCGCCCTTTGCCAGCCTCTGTCCGCGTTCACACACTCCGGCTCGCCCCTAGCGAAACCCGGGTTCTTCAAGGTTCAACTCAAAGGGCGCCACTTCCGCGACGCCCTCCCCATCGTCCTCTCCGCCCCGCTCCCGTCCTCACACGCGAGGTCCGACGCCCTCAGACCGCGGGACCCAGCACAGCCTGTCCCGGGGCGGGTGCAGACCCATCCCGGCCCCTCTCCCGCAGCCCCTTCCCGGGAAGAAGGGAGGAGGGGCGCGGGCCA